ATATATATATATATATATATATATATATATATATATATATATATAATTTTTTTCAAGGCCAACCCGTTCCCAGCCAACCTTCCGGACGCCCATCTTCTGGCCGTTTCTCTCCCTCCCCTTGTCGTCCGTTCCTCCCCCTTAGATGCGGTCGGCGGATTTAGCCTTTGAAAAAATGAATCCTTCGTTCGGCTCAAGTCATTCCCGGTTAGAGAAAAATAGGCCCGATTCTGGCCATCATCTCAACTAGTTCTCGCCTTCCTTCTCGCGATCCTGCGCACCTCCCCCCCCCATCCCCACTCTCCCATCTCCCCTCCACCGAAAGAAAAAAAAAAAGGGGGGGGGGTGGAGTTTCCGTCCTTGGTGATCGATGGGGTTTTTGAGTGAAAAGATGGGAACCTGGGTTGGAATACGAGAAACCACCCTCCCCACTCGGAATGGGCCTGGTACCTGGCGATCGCGATGGCCGGGCTCTGGGCATTGATGTTTAGGCCTCTCCTCCAAGCTTGCCTGTGCTCGGGGTTAATCTCGTAATTGACGTCAGTGCTTTGTTCCTGCCACTTTGCTGTTGCTTCCACTCTCTGAGAACGGATCCTGGGGTACGGGGGTCCCGGGTGTGTGTGGGGTGCCCTTGTTAGCCTTCTCCTTCACAGATGACACCTTTCCAGGGAGCCGAGAGCCCTGCTCTGAAAATGCTTGTGAGTGAAGTTCGAACCAAGACGGAGAGTTCGATTCGGGGTTCTCCCGAGTTTCGTCAGTTGCAAGTTAGAATTCTGCTTTTTCCTCCCCGCTGAGATTTTTAAACTGAAGCTAGCCCCCTTTCCAGTGCCGGAATCTAAGCTCTAGGTGCTCGTGAAGAGGCTGTTTGTGTGACATTTAAAATGTGTGCTTTTTGTGGGGCCGAGGGTGGGGGTGGGGGGAGGCTCAGATTGTGAAAAGCCTAAAGCTTTGTTTCCGTGTTGATTCTCCTGAGCTTTCTAAAATCTTTTGTTTTGGTCGTCCTTTTAACTTATCAGAACTGAAATGTTTATGAGATCCTTGTTAATTCGAGAATTGACGAGAAGCCGAGGTGGACCGAGAGGAAGCCTCGAATCATCATCTTTGGTCATATAGGCATAAAGTGTTGGCTAGGGGCCACTTGGCTTTTGACAAAGCTGGTTTCTTCTTCAGCTCCTTCAGGTGTATGTTCTGTATTGATCACTGCGTTTCTCAGTCCTCTGTCTCCAAACAAAAGTCTCAGAAAGTTGTTTTTAATCGCCTTTCATGATGAACTTCCTGAAAACCTAGAAGCAGTATATATATATATATATATTTTTTTTTTTTTTTAAATTGATATCAGCAGTTGGCATGCAGTTTGTGGTCATTTGCAGGCTGGTTTTTGTTAGCTCTGGGGGGTAGTAGGCACATTTTACTTGAATGAAAATTTTGCTTCATGTGGAGACAAGGTAGGGTATCTCGAGAATAGCCAGTAGCCAAATCTTTACTGTTTGGTTGGGGTGGGCTTGTCTGTGTGTGGTTTGGAAGGAGCTGGATCTTTGGAGGTGGAAGGTGACTGACTACAGTGCTTTGGTGAAGTTGTGCGATTAATTCCCAAGAAGAGAACGTTTTTTGTTTCAGTCAATGTTCTGTTTGGCATGGTATCGCATTCAGATTGGTGCATTCTCTTCTGTATTCAGGTTACCATGTCTCGTTCAGAACAAGGCATTCACGTGCATGTTGTAATTTTCTTAAAAGTCTATGGTAGTGTTTTTAGAATGAGTGCCTTGTTTATTCTGACTCTGTCTTCTCCAGTATTTATGCAGTTAGATTGAATCTGATAGCATTTTGAAGTTGAAATTGTAGATCTATCTGATCTAAGATTTTACAGATAACCCAAAGTTATGTGAGCAAGTGGTCAGTGTTTGAAAGGGGGAGATGGGAATTAGCTTCAAAAAGTGCTGTGGAAGGCCAAGCGTGCTAAAAGTATGGATCTTACTTTTTTTGACGTGTTAAGGTGGAAGTCATGGTTTTGTGTGTCCCAGAGGAACAAAGAAAGCAGGTACTTAAAAGGTATTTATTCTTTTTGACTTATCTACCGGCTTAGAATATAGTCAAAAATGTATGAAACCTTCCTTTTTCTTTGTAATACCTTTCATAAAGATCAAAGAAGGATTTTGTTGTTTGTTTTTGAGACACAGTCTCACTTTGTATCCCTGACTGGATTGGAACTTGTGTAGACCAGGCTGGCCTTGAACTCATGGAGATCCACCTGCCTCTATCTTCCAAGTGCTGAGATTAAAGGTTTGTGCCAGCACACCCGCCTTTAAAGAGGTATTCTTAAGTATTGGGGGCACAACTTAAACCCAGAAGCCTCAGATTGGTAGCAGCCAGAGACTGCAAACATACGCCACTATGCCAGGCCTCTGGCTTTTTTTTTTTTTTTTTTTTTTCACCCTTATCTCTGTTCCAGGTACATTCTAGATAAAAACCTTTGCTGCATATTATAAAGGTTTATAACTTTCTGTAACTCTCGTATTTTTACTGTTTCCTATTTCATTTCCTCTGATAAATTGAAACAATGATTTCATCTCTAGGAGGGTATTTGGCAGTCTCAGTTACTGTGAAAGAACTTTATAGTTAAAGGTTCAAGACTGTAGCTACACTTCTCTGCTTTCTCATTTGTCTTTAATACCCTTACCGCCTTGTTTTAACTCTATACCCATTTTGGTACATTTGAAGTGACACTGTCTAGTACATGGAATAGCAATGACAAATACTCCAGTTATTAACTCTTGCCTTAACACCTGATCCATTTTGTCTTGTTCATTTTCAGTTGCCGTTTTGTTTGTTTGAGACAAGTCTCCTGTGTAACTTTGACTGGCCTCAAACTTTCAGCTCTCTTCCTACCTAAGCCTCTAGGATTATAGACATGCACCACCATGCCTGACCACACCTTGAGAACTTTAGTGGTACTGATACACAAAGGGAGAGCCAGGTAAATTTAGTTTTTAATTTTAATGTTGGAATTACTTTTTATCTTATCCTTTTTTTAAATTTATTTATATTTTATGTGTACAGTGTTCTGTCTGCATGTACACCTGCACTCCAGAAGAGGGCACAAGATCTCATTATAGATGGTTGGGAGCCACCATGTGGTTGCTGGGAATTGAACTCAGGACTTCTGGAAGAACAGATAGTGCTTTTAACCACTGAGCCATCTCTCCAGCCCTTTATCTTATTCTTAAATTAAAAAAAGGAAAAATTTGAGACAAGGTTTCATATAGCCCAGACTGTCCTCAAACTGGATTTCTGGTTGGTGCTGGCCTTGGATTAACTTACTTACTTACTTTCTTTCTTTTTTTCTTTCTTTCTTTCTTTCTTTCTTTCTTTCTTTCTTTCTTTCTTTCTGTCTTTGTTGTTTTGTTTTTGTTTTTTTGAGTATCACAAAAATTTATTTAACAAAAAATTTCATATGAAAGTATACATGACCCAATTCTACACTAAAGTCAAACAGGCCCTTTGGGGAAGGAGGTGGACTCCTCTGCTGAACAGCCATTGTTTAGACTCTTTCCAAGGCTTCTAACATGATGATTCTGTTCCATGAATGGCCACCATTCCAGTTTTATTCTGTTGCCTCCTAGTTGCCATCTCCACACTCTCATCAATCACAAGACTGACAAAGGGATTTAGTGTTCCTTGTACATGTCTGCTACCATTAACTTCCATGATAACTCCTTGTCCAGCATTTCTTCAATTTAGGAGGGTAGGCCTTGCTCATGGTGACTTCTCACTGGGCTCAGCATGATGGCGAAGGAGCAGAGTGGCCTGGCCTTGAATTTCTGATCCTGTTGCATCCACCTCTTAAATGCTGGAGTAACTGGATTACTGTGGTTTGTTTTGTGGATTTTTTTTTTTTTTCTTTTTAAAATTTTGTTTTGAGACAGAGTCCCACTTATATATCTTTGGGTGTCCTGAAACTCTTGGAGATCTGCCTGCCTTCTGGTGCTGGCATTAAAGACATTCACCGCCAAGCCAGGCCTTTGAAATTTTGCAGCCTGGATTATGCTGAGTGTACCCCTTTGGTTTCATGTAGTATGTTCTTCTGTTCCCTGTGTTTTCTGTAAGTTGTAATTATATCAATAAGCTAGATTTAACTTAAACTTGAATTTTTTATTTGTATTTTTTGTTTGTTTTTGTGACATTTTGAGACTGGGTCTCATTTAACCCAGGCTGGCCTGAGCTCTTTGTAGCTGAGGATGACTTTGAGCCCTAATCTTCCTGCCTGTATCTCCATTTGCTGGGAATGACAGGTGTAATGCCACTGTGCTCCACTGATTTTATTTTTAATGTGCAGAAGAGGTAGTGTGTATACTTCTTCATTCTTGAACCTTTAGCCTGGTTTCTCACTCATCATAACTAGTTGATTACCAGGTCCTTTTATAATCCTGTATGGTCAAAATGTGTGGTTAGCCCTAGTTCCTCACTACTTATTGTACTTGATAGCCATTATCTGTTTCCTCTCTACTGTTTTCTTCTTTAACTTTTGTGACTGCTGGTATTCCTTTGCAAACTCTTTTCTTTTTTTCTTTTTTTTTTTTTTTTTTGGAGACAGGGTTTCTCTCTGTCCTGGACTTGCCTTGTAGATCAGGCTGGCCTAGAACTCACAGAGATCGACTTGCCTCTGCCTCCTGAGTGCTGGGATTATAGGTGCTACA